AAAAAAAGTCATTTTTTTTTGGACTACATGACTACTAAAACTAGTGGTTATTCTAGACCACCACTGTCCAGTGAAAATTTAATTTAAGCCACAAATGTAAGCCACATATGTAATTGTAAAATTTTAGTGGACTACATTTAAAAATATGAAAAACTACAGGTGAAACTATATATAAAATGTTTTGATTTCAATTCTGAAGGAGCAAGGGTTCCCCACACCAACAAGCAGCATGTCTGGGACTTCACCTCAATTCTGACGCTTGTACCTGGACATGGCCCGGATGACACCGGGGAAGGGCTCTGCCCTCAAGACCCGCCTCCATCGCAGACGCTAAGACAAGTCCAGGTTGTGACTTGTCCTTCTGACCAACTAGCTCCATATTGGAGGCTCCTGTAACCCTTCTCCCCAAATATTCACATGTTCACCAATCTGGAAGCTCTCCAAACCTCCTTCTTGGGGGTTTTTGTGGAGGCTTCCTTATATAGGTACACGATTGATGAAATCATCAACCATTGGTGATAAACTTCAACCTCCAGGCCCTTTCCCCTTTTGGGATAGATCAGGGGTAAGACTAAAAGTTCCAGCCCTCTAACCACTGGGTTGATTCTCCTGGGAACCAGCCCAGAACCTGACCTAACCTCCTAAAGTCGCCGCATTAACATGACAAAAGACACCTTTATGGCTCTGGACACTTAGTAAATCCCAAGGGTTTCAGGAGTTCTGTGCCAGAAAAGGGAGGAAGACCAAATATGTATTTCTTACTATAAAGCATATAATCACAATATTTAACTCAGTATATCCACATATTATGCTTTCGACATGTAATCAATATAAGATAGAGTAATGTGATGTTTACATTCAATGTTGTAATACGTCTTCAGAATCCAGTGTGTATTTTATGTTATTTTATTATTATTTTTTGTTTTGTTAATCCTCACCCAAGGATATTTTCCAATGATTCTTAGCAAGTGTGAAAGAGAGAGAGGGAGGGAGGGAAAGGGAAAGAGAGAGAGAGAAAGAGAGAGAGAGAGAGAGAGAGAGAGAGAGAGAGAGAGAAACATCAATGCCTCTCACATAGCCCCCAGGGCCAGGGATCAAAACTGCAATCTAGATATCTGCCCTTGACAGGGAATCAAACCCACAACCCTTCACCCTTCGGTCCGCAGGCCAGTGCTCTAACCACTGAGCCAAACCGGCCAGGCTCCAGTGTGTATTGTACACTTACAGAACATCTCCCCCTGAACTTAGGCGGCTAAGCCCTGCTACTGGCCAGTGCAGTTCAGGCTAGCTAACGCTCTGGAATTGTTTTCTGTGTGCTGTGTGCTTTACCTGCATTCTTTTGATGACTCCTCAGGACAACTCTGCAGTTGATAGTGCTGAAGTCCTTTCACAGGTGAGCAAACCGAGGCTTAAAGAGCTTTGGTGATTGGCCTGATGGCAGCTATTGGGTGTGGTGGAGCTGGTGCTGGGCTGTAGGGCTTTAACTTCAAAACAATGTTCTGCATTAAAATGAAAACCATCAGAAGAGGCCATGTGGCAGACTTCTGAGACATTTATGGGACATTACTGAAGATTAGACACGGGGGTGGAGGCCGGTTAACAGCAGGTCACAAAATGTCTGGAAACTTCTGAGAAGAGGAAACATTTTGAAGCAAAATGTGGGGGGAAGGATCACGATGAATTTCCCCATTAAGACTCTACCACCCATGCCCCTCAGTGTTCCTTTCTTCCCTGCCCGGATGTTTGTTTGGCAACCACTGATTGCCACGTTCTTAGACTGACTTCTCTGCCTTCCGCTGTGAACGTCCATCCATCTGCTCCACAGCGTTTGGGTAAGACTCTGTGCTATGGTGACTGGTCTGAATTAACCCTGATGCCACAGAGGTCTGTGAAATATTATCCTGGTGTCATGGAGGATACAAATGCGCACAAATGGCCGTTCCCTCCTGTTTCCTTCACACATGTAAAAAATGAGCGAAATCTATTTCTCGTTTCACTTCCCTTGTGCTTGGGGACTCAGTAAACTCATTTTAAGTTTCCACGTCTTAATAAAAATATTTTGTTTTTACTGTAATATGTTTTTGATCAAAAACATAATTTCATGGTTGTGTGTATGTTTCTGAAACAAATGTGTACGTGAACAAGTACGCGGAGGAGGGACTCTGGGACCCGTCCCAGGACTGGTTTCTTGAGCCTAAACTCAGCCTTACCTCTAGACGATCTCTAGAGAAGGAGGCAACTTCTGTCCTCACTAATTGGTCTCCTGTTCTCATGCACGCGCTTATTTCTGGATTAGAAGAGTTGGAAACGCAATCGACCATCTCAGTCACCTCAAATTCATGGAATGACATAATCTTCAGACAAACTCTAAACAGCATTAATTCTTTAGGACACTTTTGAGTGTTGAGCTTATTTTTTTCAGATATATTATTATCTGAATATTGAGATCTATGGTCTTGCTTACCCACCGTCATCCTGCACCCTAAAGTTTGTGAGGCAGGTAGAAGATGTCCCTGTAGGACAGTTAAACCAGCATTAATAACAATACTTTTTATTTAAGAAACACTTATTAGACCTTTTATAAACTGCTTTGCACACATCTCCTTTAATTCTAATGATAGGAAACGTAGGTATTGTCTCCATTTTATAAATGAGAACACCAACTTATCCAAAATGGCTAAACTAGGACTTGAATTAAGGTGAGTCTTTTTTGGCCAGTGCTAGTGACCAGTAGACTCTACACTGCTTCACGTAAGAAGCTATTGCAATACTGTGTCAGATCTATAGGTATAGTTTTTGGTAGTCTCATAATTAATGGTGCTGTAACAATAGAATATTACTTAGCAATAAAAAAAGAATCATATCTTGCCATTTACAACAACATGGATAGACCTCCTAGAGGGTAATATGCTAAGTGAAATAAGTCAGGCAGAAAAAGACAAATACCACATGATTTCACTTATATGTGGAATCTACAAAACCAAAACAAATGAATAAACAAAACAGAAACAGACCCATAGATATAAAGAATAAGATAATAATATAAAGATGATTGCCAAAGGGGAGGTTGGAGGGGATGTATGAAATAAATAAATAAATAAATAAATAAATAAATAAATAAATATTTGTGTTTTTTTTTTTTAAAGGAAAAATGATCACAGCAAATGGCCCACTGAAGAGGGCAGGGGAAAAATAATAATAATAATAATAATACCAAACCAAGTTAAGTATAAAAAAAGATAGAGTTGATAAAACACAGCTCAGAAAAAAAAATTTAATAAATAAAATTACTCCTGTTAATTTGTTCTGTTCAACTGAGGTGAAATTTCCATAACATGAAGCTATTTTTAAGTAAGCAGTTCAGTGGCATTTGACACTTTCACGATGTTGTGCAACCACCAAGTCTGTCTAGTTTGAAAATATTTCTCTCGTTCCAAAGTAAAACCCCATACCCAGTAAACAGTTTCTCCCCCTTCTCCCATGCCTCTAGCAAATACCAATCTACATTCTGACTCTGGATTTACCCAGTCTGGATATTTCATATAAACAGAATCATACATCTTTAGCAGAATGTTTTCAAGGTTAACCCACACTGTAGCATGCATCCATTCATTCCTTTTTATGGCTGAATAATATTCCATTGTATGGGTATAGTCATCAGCTGAAAGACATTTAAGCTGTGTCTACCCTTGGACGTTGTCCTACTATAAACATTTATGTACATGTACCTGTTTGAATGCCTGTTTTCAGTTCTTTTGGCTATATATCTAGGAGTGGAATTGTGGAGTCACATGATATTTGTATGTTTAACTTTTTGAAGAACTGCCAAACTATTTTCCACAGCAGGTGATTCATTTTACATTCCAACCAACAACGCAAACAATTCCAGCGTTTCCATATTCTTGCTAACACTTGTTATTTTGTTTTTTTTTATTATAGCCAGCCTAGTATGTGTCAAATGGTACCACATTGTGGTTTTTTGATTTATATTTTCCTAATAACTACTACTGATGTTGAGCATTTTTTCATGTGTTTGTTGGCCCTCTGTAGATCTTCTTTGTAGAATGTCTATTTAATTCCTTTGCCCATTTTTAATTAGTTAGATTGACTTTTTTTTTTTTTTTTGCTTAAAGCAACACAAATTAATTGTTTTACAGTTGTAGAGGTCCAGAGTCTAAAATGGGTGAAGCAGGGTGCCTTCCTTCTGGATGGTCTAGGGGAGTGTTCCTGGGAAGGGGACCTGGCCCTTCGCGGATCCACCTAGAGCGGGCCAGTAATGTGCAGATTCTTGACTTCTTGCAGGAAAAATTTCACATGGGTCCAGGTGAATTTTAGAGGATGTTTATTTATTTTTTTAAAGGTGTTACTTTATTTTAATATGAGAGATAATGCTGTTTAGGAAGAGAGGATGTTTATTAAAGCTGGGGACAGTAAAACAAGGAAGCGCCTAGGATAACAGAAGGGGGACTGGGTGGGGGAATGAGCCCAGGCTGGGTTGCTCTGGCTCACTAAGAAGTCAGAGAAAGGGGGGCATGGGGACAAGTTCAGGGGTGTGCCCAGGACAAACTGCCCCTGCCCATTGCTGCCCTGGCGCAAACCTTGTGGGTCCCTTCTTGAGCTGTAATTTGTCTATTCTGATACGAGATTTAATCAGTTATATGATTTGAAAATGTTATATCCACTCTGTAGGCTGTACAGACATTCCTGATAATGTCCTTGGAGACACAAAAGCTTTTAATTTTGATGAAGTCCAGATTATCTGTTTTATCAGTGGATGTAATTTTTCTTTTGGTGCTTGCACTTTGGGTGTCATATCTAAGAACCCATTGCCAAATCCAGGGCCATGAAGATTTTACCCCTATATCTTCTTCCAAGAATGTCAGAAATGCAGCTCTTATATTTAGGTCATTAATTCACTTCGAGTGAATTTTTATATATGTGTGAGGTAGGGGTCCTGTTTACTCGTGTTTATTCTCTTTTTTTTTTTTTTCCCCTCCTAGGAACCCTTGCAAGCAAGGGACTGCATATTTTTAACCTGACTTCTTTAACCAAGTCTGAAAACATTTTATCTGCTACACTGTATTTCCATGTTGGAGAGCTGATAAACATCAGCCTGAGTTGCCCAGGGTCAAGAGGATGTTCACATCCTGCTCAGAGGAAACATATTCAGATTGATCTTTCTGCCTGGATCCTCAAATCCAACAGGAACCAAAGTCAACTCCTGGGTCATCTTTCAGCCGATGTTGCCAAATCTCATCGAGACATTGTATCTTGGCTGTCTAAAGACATCACTCAACTCTTGAGGAAGGCCAAGGAAAGTGAGGAGTTCCTCATAGGATTTAACATAACCTCCAAAGGACACCAGCTGCCAAAGAAGATGTCATCCTTTCCTGAACCTTATATCTTGGTATATGCCAATGATGCTGCCATTTCTGAACCAGAGAGTGTGGTATCAAGCTTACAGGGTCACCGAAATTTTCCCACTGGCACTGTGCCCAAATTGGATAGCCATATTAGGGCTGCCCTTTCTATTCAACGGAGGAAGAAGCGTTCTACTGGGGTCCTGCTGCCTCTGCAGAACAATGAGCTTCCTGGGGCAGAATATCAATATAAGGAGGATGGAGTATGGGAGGAAAGAAAGCCATATAAGACTCTTCAGACTCAGGCCCCTGAGAAGAGTAAGAATAAGAAGAAACAGAGGAAGGGACCTCACCAGAAGAGCCAGACCCTCCAGTTTGACGAACAGACACTGAAGAAGGCAAGAAGAAAGCAATGGATTGAACCTCGGAATTGTGCCAGGCGATACCTTAAGGTGGACTTTGCGGATATTGGCTGGAGTGAATGGATTATCTCCCCCAAGTCCTTTGATGCCTATTATTGTTCAGGAGCATGCCAGTTCCCCATGCCAAAGGTAGCCATTGTTCTTTGTCCTGTACTTTCTATTTCCACAGAGTCGTGAGACACACTGACTAAGCTGAGTGTGTTTTCATTTACATATCTGCCTGGGTGCTTATTTATTGCATTCTAAAGTGTAATAAGTAATATGGTTATGCTTCATTTTTCTTTAATGGTTGTTAAAGTACTACAAAGTCAGTATTGGTACCGAGAAGGGTATGAGAAAAAAAAAATGGATGTGTAAAATATGTTTGTTGTGTTCCTTCCAAGCACAGTGCATATTCAGCTCTGTGAATCTATAGGTGTCCACAATAAGCAAATCCCAAGAGGCCAATCTTGCAGCGATAGCCAGAGAATGAGTGGCTGTCGTGGGAACATGGGGAAGGACTAATTGCATTGATGTCCTGATGCAGAATATGTTTTGATAAATAGTCTCTTCTTAGATGAATTGTCCCCACGGGGGTCAGGGTCAGGGTTGGGCCAGGTAAACTCACCTCGTGAAATCTACCAGGTGTGCATTACATTTGCTTCCTGATACACATCCAAAAGGAAGGCAGAATAGGGTACAGTGACTCTGGAAACTTCTTCTAAGACTCATTTCAGCTGATCAGAGTTTACCTGTATTCTTTCAAAATCAATAGGAACTGTGCTTGATTGTAGCAGTCCTCAGTATTCTGACAAATATATTTTCAAAAGCTTCCTCAACCCCACTCCATTCTGCACACAAGTCCAAGTGACTATTCTCTTCGAATGTATGGCCAGTAAAATACAGTGGTGCCCTCTGGCCTTGGGGTAAGCTTATTGCTACACTTCCCTTCTTAGCTTATACCAGTTTGAATTTCTGTTATACAATAAAAACTGCTTCTAGGAATAGACTTCAGAGGAAGAATAAAGGTTTTGTTTTTGTTTCGCAACTTGAACTGAATCAACTTTTGCTGTTGTATAAAAATGGAGAAAAAAATTCATTGCCTCAAAGAGTAAGCGGTTTCTGCTTATAGACCCTGAGAGTAGCACGTCCGTCTTCCAGTCCTGTGCTCCCTGTGGTGCTAGACGTGGACGTGCAGAGAGCCAAGGGCCCACAGACGGAAGGCAGCAGTCAGCCCCAGGAACAGAAACTTGATTGAAATGCCATTTTCTTGTGAGACTGTCTCAGAAGGACAAGCTCTCTATATTTTCTAAGACGTTTCCTAAGATATTTTTGCAAATTCATGTTTTATAAACACAAATACGAAGTAAAGATGATGTACACTTACAATTATATAAAGGCCTTATCTTTCCTAATATTCATAACGGACATTTCACTGATGAAACAGAAGTTGTTCAAACTGGGGTAGCATTTAAAACGCACAACCCAAGTGCGGGACATTTTACAGAGCAGCTTGCTTTGTGGTGTCAAGAGGCAGAAACGGAGTCAGGATTCGTCTCTCCACCCCAGTGGCTGATTTTTAGTAGGCCTCTGAGTCTTTCAAATAACCGCGCTCATGCTCATGAACATGCTTTTTCTGGGTAGCCTGGAGAAGGCGTTTTCCTCTTCCCTCCTGACTCCAGATGGCAGGGCCGAGGGAGCCCTGATAATGTGGAGATACTCTGTTGGTTAGCTTTTCACCCCCCAAAACTACGCCATCCCTTGTTGGCTCTGCCTGCTTTGACTGTTCAAAAACGTTGCTATTGCTTCAGCAGTTACCATGGTTCTGGGACCTAAAGAATAATAATTTGAAAAACGCCTGAGGACTAAGTTAAGAATGGCAGGGACAGTTTAAGGAGAGAAGTGCATTAGTGCAGCGGAATGGTTCGTGTCCACGCCTGGTCACAGCTGGGCTTCTCAGCGTTACCGCTCCTGCAGACACCTGGGGTCGTGTTACTCTGCGGGGTCTGCTCCAAGGACTCGGGTAGAGCGCATCTAACAAGGTCATAGATGTTGCTAATGCTAATTGTCTAGAAATCACACTTTGAGTAGTAAATTTGAGAGTCAAATCCTAGTTCTCCTTCTTACCAGATATGATTTTGGGGGAGGTTACTCAAACTCTGTGTATGTTAGCTATCTCATCTTTGAAACAGATACCAAAAATAATAATAATAGTAGTAGTAGTATCTACATAAAATGAGATGTCGAGCACCTTGCACATAGTAGGCACTCCATGAGTATTTCCTACTGACGTTATTATTAATGGCCACTGCTGAGACTGAGGGGAACAGAAAATTACACGTAGGGGGCTGAAGAAAGACCCCTTAGGGAAAGGAATCAAGGGAATAAAAGATGTAAGACCAGAAAAAGGTTTGTAAATGTTTCTAGTCCCCTTTTAAACATCACAAAGCCTAAAATAGGATTCTCTCTGTGGGTTCAACAGGCCGTAAGCTCTTCCAGTAACGTTTCTTTGGAGAATAATAGAATCAGGAGAGCATCAGTTGCAGCAACTGAACTCATCATAATATTTGTCAGAACTTGGAATGGCATCAGAACTCCGGGGAGACATAACAGGGAGAAGTGTGGAGTTTTCCCCCTGAGCTTGAGCTTTCTCTTTGCCAAGTCGAGAGTGGAAGTTTGGCTGTTACATGGAGTTCTCGGTCTCTCATCACCTAGTGTGGATCTGCTGGACTTGTAAAGCATTCTGGTGGTTGCCTTTAAGGCTTTGTGGCTTTCAAGCGGTGCAGTCACCAAAAGGATGGGAAGCAGAAAGCAATATGATGCTGCTCCATTAGGGGTAATTTATCAGCTTCACAGTTATCAGCACAGTGTTCAACATGGTATCCAGAGTGAACTGTTTAAATAGAAATATAGTCTGAGCAACAGAGGAAAAATAAGGTCTCTTACCAGATCAGTACAAACACATGTGGAAAAACTGAGGCGCCAAAAAACTTTCAGACCTTAGATATACATTTTGCCCCAGAGAAAAGTTCGCCCAGGCCAGACTCCTCTGCTGGCCTTCCTTCTTCTTGGCCTCCGGAGCGAGAGCCTGCTCGGTGTGGCGGGGCTCTGCGTCTGCAAAAGCCGACAACCTGTTCCGTAATTCAGAACAGCTGTGTTCTGCCTTTCCCAAATTCCAGGCTTTGCCCTTTCCCTGATTCCAATTAGATAGTTTCTGGGCTATCACACCCATGTGGGCTGGACGGGAAGAGTGTGGAGCAAAACCCCATGGCCCAGGTCAGGAATGAAGGCTCTTAGCTGATGACATACTCTCCCCTGCTAATGCATTTATAATCAAATTCAACTCGAGGACATCATACGCAGCTTGGCAGGTGCGGGCGGACCTGACCACTGCAGATTTCATTCACAGGCACAGCAGTTGGGATTTTTCTGTTTTCTAGCCCCTCCAGCCAATCTGTTCTCCCAGGGAGAGACCCTGGAATTCTGCCATGAGATGAAAAATACCCATGTAGCTAAAGCCAAGTCGTATGCCTTTGCCTCTCTTCTCACCACCTTCGCAAAGATGGAAAACAGAGATTTCAAATGAAAATGATTGAACCATGGTTGCTGACAGAGATCCCGGAGAACCAACAAGGATTAGAGGAATGAAGTTATTTTTGTATGGAATGGTGCAAAAGCTAGGAATAGCAAAGACACAGGATTGGGCAGCAAAGACTCTAATCACTTTGAACCACGCATCCTATATAAAAAGAAACTCACATTTAATGAGTTCAAAATGACACACCCTCGATTAATTTCCTGAGTTTCCAATTCCAATCTCTGCTCATAATTATGAACTCTAAAAATCCTAACTCTTGATGTACTAAGTTACCTAAGCAAAAAATCACCTCAACTGATGAAGTCAGGTTTCACACTCATTAATAAGGGAGACTGGAGCCCTGGCTGGGTGGCTCAGTTGGTTGGAGTGCCATCCTGTATACCAAAAGGTGGTGGGTTTGACTCCCAGTCAGGGCACATGCCCAGGTTGTGGGCTCGATCCCTTGTCGGGGAGCATGCAGGAGGCAACCGATTGATGTTTTTCTCTCTCTCCCTTCCTCTCTCTAAATATCAATTAACAAAGAGGGTGGGGGACTGGGGAGAGAAGTAACACAGATTTGCATTTGTGATTGACAGACTTCTTCAGCTATATAAAAGAGAGTCATAAGAAATACAATTGGAACACAAAAACAAACAAAAATTATAGACTGGCAGTATGCTTCAAATGAGCAAATTACTGCATGGATCTTTTGTGCATGACATAATTGTTCCTGGTAATAGCAGCTTGATCAGAGGATTCCATAGTGAGGAAAAAAAGGGGTAACTCCCAGGAAAACTGAGAGGTTCCTGATAAGACACACCAACCCAGAATCACAAGCTTGTGCTGAATTCCATGAGCCCACCAGAGACTGCTCATAGTTTCTGAATCTATCATTTGTGAGTTAGAGCTTTTAAAAAAGGACAGGAATTTTCCTAGGGAACACCCATGAATACTTTCCATATCTACTCTGGGTCATTTGCACAGAACCTTTTATTTTTGTTGTTGGGAATGATTTCCATAGAAATAGGTAAAATGGAGAGTATGCTATTTCTTATAAGTATTTTGTCCACTTAGTATTTATTCGGCCTAAAGCATGCCCTGTTCTAGGCACTGAGGAATAATGATGCAGACCAGTGTTTATCAAATGAGGCCTCATCTACTTAAATAGATCACTTCATATGAAATTTAAATATGATAGGAGTCATCAAAACATTAACAGTAACAGAATAATGTCAGAAAAAAATCTAATATTTGAAAAAAACTCTGGGGCATTAGCATAAGCTGTTTGGATGATTGAGTCTTAAGAATAAATCAATAAGAGAAGTAGATGACTGCAAAAAATGTCTGTAGGAAATACCAATACTGATGAAATAACAGTGGTTATTGACCTTATTGTACAATACCTATTGCAGTTTGCGTGTTACACAGGTTTTATCGATGTTGGACAGCACATGATATGCCAAATAGAATAATATAAACTTCCTTTCTTTAAAGGGGAAATACCTGTCTTTGCAAAGCTAATTAATTGTAAGTCAGCATTCTTTTTAGTACATACTTAAAACATCTAGGAAGAGAGTAAAAAACAGTTGCCTATCAAAAAATAATGTCTTAATAATGTATGCCTATTCACAATAAAGTTGAAGTCTAACATATGGGTAATTGTTTTAATTAAAATAGAAAGACAAGATGAGACAAACTTGTTTTTTCTCTGCCAAAAAGAATCCTTTAAAAAAAATAGTATGCCATTTTTCTATATTATTTACTTCTTCCTTGACTTGTATGCACCCTTAACCTTTTAAACTTTTTCCAGTTTCCCATACTGGGAGTTTTAGGAGCATGAAATTAAAACACCAGTTCATTGGGGCAGAGGTGCCTCTGAGCCACAAGAAACGGCTCAAAAGCCTGAAATTAAAGAGCCAGCGTTTTGGCCTAAATCCTACTCCTGAATTCACACGTGACCTCTGGCAAGTTATCAAATTTGTCTCAAAATATGCTTACAACAATACTGGATTCACCTGTGTAAAAAAGACATTGAGGAGAACTAATGTTGAAAGTGTGGCATTTCTCATGCAGTTCCCACTCTGGCGATACGTAAACCCCCAGGGCTTGGAAAAGCGACGGCCCTTCAGTGCTGAGCAGTGTGTGGCACTCTCTAAATAAAACCACGTTTCACATGGATGACAATGGTCTCATGTGGCATTTTCTCAGGAACAGATTTTACCCATGCTTCTTTGGTCAAACTTCTGACATCCATGGGAAAACCTTAGGCCCCCTAGATTATTCCCCTAGGATATGGCCCACTCTTAGAACACTATTAACTCGTCCACATTGGAGTATGAACCGATGGAGCAACAGTGACCCCCAGTGGCCAGTGGTGTGGTCTTCTTAACCCCGGTTTGTGTTTCTAAGGAGAGGTGAATAATTACATAGTGGAGTAATCGCCATCCAATTCATCCTAGTGGCAACTGTTAAACAAATCAATGTCTCTTGACCTGGTTGTTTTATTTTAACAACAGAGTATAAATATCACTATAGCAGTGGTAATAATGTATCTATGTTAGATAGGGTTGCCTGTTAGGGTTCTTTATGATTAGCATAGGATTCAAAACAAGTGTTTTTTGCTGCAAGCCTGTTACTGAAAACATCCTAGAATGCATTAATCCCATTTAGGAACTAAATTGGTTTCAGTTAAAGAATTCTTGCTTAGATATCTGGGTTCAAATCCTCACTCTACCACTTACTAGCTATTTGACTTCAGACGCGTCATATGAGCTTTTTTACTCTATTTCTTTACTTATAAAATGTAAGAAATGCTAGTTTTGTAGAGGGAATAGAGGCACTACATACAACATGCCTGACATGGAGTGATAACCACTGTGGTTATGGTGGCGTGGGAGATTGGCGCGTGTGGAATGACGCCAGGGCTTTATTAAATTGTCGAAAGGAATGCATTATGTTTGCATCTTAGTGATGAGGGGTGACGAGTGGAAAAGCGGTTTCATTTAACTTATGTGCTCTTCTCCCATGTCTTTTCTAGTCTTTGAAGCCGTCAAACCATGCTACCATCCAGAGTATAGTGAGAGCGGTGGGGGTCGTTCCTGGAATTCCTGAGCCTTGCTGCGTGCCGGAAAAGATGTCCTCGCTCAGTATCTTATTCTTCGATGAAAATAAGAACGTGGTCCTTAAAGTCTATCCTAACATGACAGTAGAGTCTTGCGCTTGCAGATAACTTGGCAATGAACTCGTTTGAATGCCTAATTTCAATCAGTTTATTTTTATGGACTTTTTTTTTTTTTTTTTTGCACTGCCAACGCATTTTATTCCAAAAGATTTTTTAATAGTCAAAGAAGAATGAGAAAATAGACTGATAATTTCCACCAAGGACAACTGGACTGTATTTGTTTCGGAATGTAACTAAAAGCAAAAATTTAGTAAAGATGGACGTCTATTTCTTCCTTTTCTTTTTTTTTTAATCACACGAGAAAAATGACAATTCAAACTTTTTTTTAGAACTGTTAAAGAACACAGTGATTTATTTTTGTAACGGGCTTTGAAAATAGATGGAGAAACAATAATAGCTTATCATTTATCTCTACTCATAGAGAATAAAATAATTTTGTATTTTTAAGTAGGCTTATTGCCTTAGATTCCTGAGCAACTTAGTAAGTGCTAAATAATCCAATCAACTTTGATGTTTATCTTAAAGATGTTTGAGATGCGTGTTTACCTGTGTTTTTCTGCACATGGTACGTGTGACAAGTTGAGTGGAGGGTGTGTGCTTAGTGTTATGCATATGTGTGTGGACCCTGCTGGGTACCTGTGCCCTCTATGAGAAGGTTTGCTTAACATGGTTTTATAATTCAGTCTACACAGGATTCTTTGTTTTTTTAATTTCATGTTCTGGCAAGCACCATTCAATTATGAGAACTTTACCAAAAAGGATAGAGTGATCCAAGAGCATATGCAGAGAGTTACCACTTGGCCCAGCCATTTAATTGGAAATACAGTTGTTTTCATTGCATTGCCTCCCAGAAAAGGAAACCAGCAATGCAATTTTCCAAAACCCAGATGTAAGTCCCCTTCCATACCTCTTTTTCACAGGGACTTTCATTTGTTCTTTAAAATTGAATTCAAAAATTCTTCCTGAAGCCATTAAATTCTTCGTTCTCTTGTTATGCCTTTACTTCTTGTGAAGTAATCATTAGTTACTGAGGCTCAAAAACTGATGGAGATGGAAGATTTCTTTAAGTGACTGATTAAATTACAGTCACGCATTCATTATTGTTCTTTGGCCACATTCAAGTCCAGGCACTTTTTCACATGGACCAAGGCTTTTGACTCAGCCATAGACATTATTCTTTTGGAAAATGCACTAAAAATTTCCACCAAGAAAGGGAGTCAAATATACACACTTTGTTTTTTCCCATTTTCATTTGTCACAAATATTTTCTCTTATACTTTTGCCCTTGTGATTGTCTCAGAACCCTTGTGTATTGTTTCAAAAATCTTTCACTCGCTATCTTTACAAGTATAATAACCATTAGACCATGGATTGTTGTTGATGTTATATCTTTGGTTAAACTTATCATCTTAGCTCAGTCTCACCTGATGAGTGACAACTAAGCCACTTCAGAGGCTGTGAAGTATTGGAGCACATGGGGTAGTGCTCTGTCTCTGCTTATAGCTATCTTTGGTGGTTCATCATTTACTAGATGTTTATTGAGCATCTATTTTGTAAAAGACTCTGTGTTAGCAGTGTGTCTTAGTGCGTAAAATGAAGAGGCTGTCTGGCTGAGCTGGCACTAAAAATTTGGGTATATAATATTAGCTAGTTCATACACATCTTCCCTGAATGGATGACAGTGAGATATTAAAACACTGCAAGTATCTCTGTTCATAAACCAAATGCAAAAACATTCTCCTCTTCAATGCTGTGGGTGGGATCTCTGGGGAAGTGGTGTTTCTGTGTCCTTGGAGAGCGTGTGAAGAAGGGAGCCATGAGAGGCAGCTTGACACTTTGGGAGCACGCAAAGGTCGGCGTGCATGTGTGTGAACTCCGTGAATGAGACACCAGCTCAAGTAATACATTCACTTCTGGTGCTTGCGTCCCTGTTTCTTACAGATCATTTGTGTGTACTGTAGCATCAAGTTAAAGATTCCAAATGAGATAGGTGACAAAATTACTTTTCAAAAATGTTTATCAAAAATTTTGCAGCAAAAATACATAATAGAAGCAAGCCAGCATGTGGCCACCATATCCCAGCCACACTGGTGTTCAATAAAGAAAACTTCTTTTTCATTGATAGATTTGATGAAGTTTTTAATTAGTTCTTCTCTGGGGGTATTTCAACCCAACCTCTGGCAATTCCCAGGGTTACTCGTCAGCCTTCTTTTATCCAGATGTCTCTGTGTTGCCTTTTTTCATTAGAATCGATGCCTACTTATTACTAATTAAATTCTAAAGTGGCCCAAAAAGGTTCTCTAAATAATAAAAACGTCCAAGGATAAACTAATTACATTTTATTTTAAGCAGTAATTTATGTGACAAAATACACAGTGAGATAGCTGGACAATCTGAGGGCAATCAAATTGTTCCTGACCAGTCGTGATTTGGGGGTGGCCTTCCTGTAACCATCATTTACTTCACTACTGCATTGAGGATACATTATGGTATAAACTGGAAAAGTTTTAGTCCCAAAGAATAAAAGAAGATTACTTTTCAGTAGTAGGGGTTGAAATAAATGAGTTAATATTTAAATGAACAAAAATTTACTTGAAATGGTTTTAAAGCAAACTGACTGTTTCACAATTTGTTATGTACTAGTGTCTGTGTAATTGCTACCTAGACTTTTTGTAACTCTCCTGACATAAAGTGGCAGAGGAGAGAAGAGAAATGTCATGTATGCGCCATTTCCTGAGTCATGCATCTCTGTCTCTGTCTCTAATCTCTCCCTTCCCCCTCCTCTCACTCCCCATCTCTGTCTGGTTTTTGTCTCTCTCTCTTCCCACCCCCACCTCACCCCCACTTCTAGATTGAGACACACAGACACAAACGCAGTCACTTAAAAAATATATATTTTTTAAATAATGACTCTCTTGAATTCAAATTCAGGGACTGCCAATGTCAATATAGTACTTCCAAAATATTTTATTGTAATCTGTAGAAATATTATACAATTTGCAGGATTGGGGACTGTAGAACTGAAACTGGACTTCTGGATTCCCCACATCTCTGAACTACAATATCCCAGATGCATTTTTACATTTGCCTAGCTGTATAGTAACTGATGATCATTTATTCACTAAGATAAGGTTATTACCTTGGTATTTCTGGAAAAGAAAACTCTTGTTGCCCATTTAATATTTTCATAGACAACCATATGTATATAATACTATTAGCAGTCTGCCATAAAAATGTTTGCATAATTACATTATTCAGTTCAATCTTTCTGCTTCCACTTTCCTCTGTGCTAACAAGTAACTAAAGTATGGATGTTGACTTCTTGTTGAATCAAAGTTGGGTTGAAGAACAGCTCTGCACACCTGATGGGTCAGATTAAATATGAAATTAAGTAAGAAATCTTGGGTAAGTCTGACTTCTCTGTATAGACAGTTTCCCCTTGAGAACTGTATTTTAATGTAGTTTATAGGTGGTTAAATGATCTCTCTTTTCCAAGAACCAAGCCTTCCTCTCAGCTTCCCACTCAGTTTCTGTAAATGTTTTAGTTGAGTATTCAATGCATGTACAGTTAATGGCAATTTAAAAATTATATATTATATATGTATATAGAAAAACTTTAAAGATGCTTTTAATTTATTTAATGATTATTGCTTTCCTATAACGGTAATGATTTTCATCCTTAGATGGTGAGATAAAACCCTTTTTACTATAGTTATTACATGCAAAATGAAACTTGTTTTTTTTAGTTAAATCCACTAAAGGGGCGCATTGCAGTGAAACTGTGAAGGACGCGTCACTACTGATGTATAAGCTTTGCTGAATGTGTATCCTTTTCCTCCAGTGATGGGGAACTTTTCATTATACAGTATGAAAATAAAAAACTGCTTAATTGAACATTTCCCCAGAGTTGAACATTTTTAAATTCAAATGGTATCATGAATGGAACATCATAATCTACTACCAAAATAACATTATTAACACTGGAATAATACTGAAATACACACATAAGAGGAAATCCTTATGTCTTCCAAATTTCAGAAACCCAGCTTGAATAATTTATTTTTTATTGATATTTCCTATTTAACTACAAACTCTACATTTCCTACTTGGAGATATTTTGTTTTTGCTGAATGCCTGACTCACTATTTTAAATATAACTTTATTTCAGCAGTCATCGTTACCACTCTAGAATGATAAGCATTTACATTTAATAAATCTGATCATTGAGATGTATTTGGTCTCTTATTTTAGCCTATGGCTTTCACTTTTATAAAATGACCTGAGGTTAAGAAATAAAATATGCTTTCATATTATTTTCACTCATTTAATCTATCTCTGTTAGATTTATTTATAATGTATGTTTAATTAAAGACTACAGCATTTTGGAACAACAAGGCACCTAAGAGATCACTTTGAGCATGTTCCTTAAGCTCTCTGTGCTCATTGATTCACCTGTAGAAAGGCAGTCAACTTCCTGCCTCACAAGCTGGTTACAAGGTTCCATGAAGTAATGCATGTAAATTACTTCTTCAAGTTCCTGAAACAGAATCGCTACTCCATTACCATCAATTGTTACTATCAAATCTAGTCTTTCTATTTTCCAAATGAAGAAATGTAGACAAGCTGTGGTTTATTCCTATTTAGATGTCTCCTCATCACGTCCTCCTCTAAAAACTGGCTCCAGCAGGGATGGGTTCTTCACGCGTAACAGAGATGAGCCTCTGACAGAAGCTGGACAGTGTTGGTAAAGCTGGGAGGTGCTGCTGAGAGCTGTAACTATTTTCTACCAAGCATGTGAAAAAGTTTTAAAACCCAGTGTTCAGAGAGAGAAGCTGCCTTGATTCCGCTGATATTCCGGTTTCTGCTCCTGTCTCATGCAAGAGAAGGAAGAGCCAGGAGCAGAGGGAGAAACAGGATGTGTCTCCTGCTAGCCTTCCCTCTTAGCAAGTTGGAGAGAAGCTGAGCCCATTTATGGAAAGCTAGGTAAGGGGTAAAGGTGACTCTCCTAACATAAAGTGTGATCTGAGCTGTCTCCTATAACTTTTAAAATCATAATGAACCAAATAACTATGTACTTGCATGAATAGCCC